CTAACTGGATAAATGCGGTGGTGGGATTCAGCCGGTTCGCACCAGTTCGGCAGAACCGGTAGCTAATTTTTTGTGGCTCAGGCCCAGAATGGACTTCCGGAACCAGCATCGACACAGAGAACCGGTTGTTCATCTATTTGAATCCTACCATTGAATCAATCATCTAGGTCTGTCTGTCTGTCTGTCTGTCTGTCTGTCTATCTATCTATCTATCTCATCTAGGTCTGTCTGTCTGTCTGTCTGTCTGTCTGTCTGTCTGTCTGTCTGTCTATCTATCTATCTATCTATCTATCTATCTATCTATCTATCTATCTATCTATCTATCTATCTATCTATCTATCTATCTATCTATATCTATCAACCCAGTGGTGGGATTCAGCCGGTTTGCACCAGTTTGGCAGAACCGGTAGTTAATTTTTTGTGGCCCAGGCCCAGAATAGACTTCCGGAAGTGGCAGTCACCCAGAGAAATGGTTGTTCACCTATTTGAATCCCACCACTGCCTCCCTCTCTCCCTCTCTCCCTTCCTTCTTTTCCTCTTTCTGTCCTTCCTTCCCCATCAAATATCTTCCTTCCTTCCTTCCTTCCTTCCTTCCTTCCTTCCTTCCTTCCTTCCTTCCTTCCTTCCTCATCAAATACTTTCCTTCCTCCAGTGATGGGATTCAGCCAATTCGCACCAGTTCGGCAGAACCGGTAGCTAATTTTTTGTTGCCTAGGTCCAGAACGGACTTCCGGAAGCGGCATCCATGCAGAGAACCGGTTGTTCCCCTATTTGAATCCCACCACTGCCTCCCTCCCTCTCTTCCTTCCTTCTTTTCCTCTTTCTGTCCTTCCTTCCCCATCAAATATCTTCCTTCCTTCCTTCCTCATCAAATATTTCCCTTCCTCCAGTGGTGGGATTCAGCCAGTTCGCACCACTTCGGCAGAACCGGTAGCTAATTTTTTGTGGCCTAGGTCCAGAATGGACTTCCGGAAGTTGCATCCACGCAGAGAACCGGTTGTTCCCCTATTTGAATCCCACCACTGGATAAATGCCGTCTTTTTAAAAAAGATTTTCCGGGGGCGACGGCTGCAGTTTGTTTCTCGAATTGTCCAACTGGTCCGTGCCGGGATGTTAAGCTTTGGAAACACCTCGAGATCCTCCGGTGAACTCGCTCTTCAGAAGCTGCAGGGAACCAAGGATGAAATCCACACCTGAGGAGATAGGCTTCGGATCTTATAGTAAAGGGATCTAAGTCCCTCAGAAATGTCTTCCTGTCCAAATTTTGAACTGGGCTGATGGGACACAGGCCAAGCCTTTTCTTGTAGAAATCGCCTCTTGTGGGGGTCCTTGGTGCTCTCTGAGCTGGGTGGTTTTCTTGCAGACGTTTCATTAACAGACTAGGTAACGTTATCAGTGCTTAATAGGAGTGGAGCTTGCAGAATGATGGAGGAGGAGGAGGAGCAGGACGATGGGGTCCTTGGTGCTCTCTGAACTTGGTGGTTTTCTTGCAGACATTTCATGACCCAACTAGGTAACATTATCAGTGCTAGAAGGGGATGGGGATTGTAGAGAGGAGAGAAGAAGAAGAAGAAGAAGAAGAAGAAGAAGAAGAAGAAGAAGAAGAAGAAGAAGANTAGAATAGACTGGAATGGAATGGAATGGAATATAATAGAATAGGGAATAAATAGAATAGAATAGAATAGAATAGAATAGACTGGAATAGAATAGAATAGAATAGAATAGAATATGGAATAAATAGACTAGACTAGACTAGACTAGACTGGAATAGAATAGAATAGAATAGAATAGAATAGAATAGAATAGAATAGAATAAGAGAGTTGGAAGGGACCTTGAAGGTCTTCTAGTCCAGCCCCCTGCTCAAGCAGGAGAACCTATACTGTCTCAGACAAGTGGCTGTCCAGTCTCTTCTTAAAAACCTCCAGTGTTGGTGCACCCACGATTTCTGGAGGCTAGCTGTTCCACTGGTTAATTCTCTTCACTGTTAGCAAGTTTTTCCTTAGTTTAAGTTTAAGTTCAAGTTCAAGTTTAAGTTTAAGTTTAAGAAGATTGAAGAATCTTTGGTTGGAATGGCTGGAGAATTAAATTATGGATAAAGTGGAAGTTTTGGAAAGTAAGGCACAAGTTATAGATAGAGAGATGGAAAAGGATTTAACATTTTTGGGGAGAACTGAGAGAAAGATGACTTTATTTAAAATTTAGAGCAATTCCAGAAGGCCATGGAGAAGATAGGAGAAAAAAGATGGTGACATCTGTCTAATTTCCTGCACTGGGAGGAAGGTAACATTGAAATCTTTGCAAACTTCTCTTATTCTGATCAGGGTTACTCCCAAATAAATAAACGTCAGAATCCAACTTTCATTGAATTTTTGACGCTCAGTTTTTCTCTCTCGCCTCTAAGTCTTCCTGCCCCGTTGATGTAGCCGATAGCCAGGGAAGGACAGCACTCCACCATGCAGGTAAGTTCTCCACACTCTTTCTAGAGTCTCACCATCTTTTTTCTATCATGGTGACCCAAACTGGACACACTATTCCAAGTGTGGCCTCACCAATGCAGTATAATGTATAGAATAGAATAACAAGAGTTGGAAGGGACCTTGGAGGTCTTCTAGTCCAACCCCCTGCTCAGGCAGGAAACCCTATCCCATTTCAGACAAATGGCTGTCCAATCTCATCTTAAAAACCTCCAGTGTTGGAGCATTCATCACTTCTGGAGGCAGGTTGTTCCACTGGTTAATTGTTCTCACTGTCAGGAAGTTTCTCCTTAGTTCTAGGTTGCTTCTCTCCTTGATGAGTTTCCATCCGTTGCTTCTTGTCCTGCCTTCAGGTGCTTTGGAGAATAGCTTGACTCCCTCTTCTTTGGGGCAGCCCCTGAGATATTGGAAGACTGCTATCCTGTCCCCCCTCATCCTTCTCTTCATTAAATGAGACATACCCAATTCCAGCAGCCGTTCCTTATATGCTTTAGCCTCCAGTCCCCTAATCATCTTTGTTGCTCTTCTCTGTACTCTTTCCAAAGTCTCAACATCTTTTTTACATCGTGGTGACCAAAACTGGATGCAGGATTCCAAGTGTGGCCTTACCAAGGCCTTGTAAAGTGGTATTAACACGTCACGTGATCTTGATTCTATCCCTCTGTTAATGCAGCCCAGCACTGTGTTGGCCTTTTTGGCAGCTGCAGCACACGGCTGGCTCATACATAAGCGGCTGTCACTTGGAATTGTTTAGGCCTGGAAGTCGCATCCTTCCCCTTGAAGTTTAAAACCCACAGCACAGGTAGTCCTCGACTTACAACCGTTCATTTAGTGACTGTTCACAGTTACAACGGTGCTGAAAAAAGTGACCTATGGCTGTTTTTCAGACTTAGGACCATTGCGGCATCCCCCGTGATTACGTGATCAAAATTCAGACGCTTGGCAACTGTCTCATATTTATGACGGTTGCGGAGTCCTGGGAGGCTCCCGTGATCCCCTTTTGCGACCTTCCAACAAGCAAAGTCAGTGTGTGGGGGGGAAGCCAGATTCATTTAACAACTGGCTTACTAACAGAATAATTGCAGTCATTCACTGAACGACTTTGGCAAGGAAGGTCGTAAAGTGGGACAAAACGCGCTTCACGAATGCCTCGCCTCGCAGCATAAAATTGAGACTCCGTTGCGGTCGTAAGTGGAGGACTGTCCGTACTCAAGAGTAGGGCTTTTCAACCTTTTCACCCATTGTACCACTTTTAGGATATGGCAACATCCGAGTACCACCAGTCGCCTAGCATGGTGTCAAAAACTTGATGACCAAAAAAAAAAGAGGAAAAAAGTGATGAAGTACAGGTCGTCCTCGACTTACAACAGTTCGCTTAGTGATTGTTTGACGTTACAATGGCACTGAAAAAAGGGCCCCCCAAGCCACAGCCGAGCAAGACACCTGCCTGCCCGCCCGGCGGCGCTCTTCCTCCTGTCCGAGGTTTTCATTGTTGTGAGCATTTCTGTTGAGGATTGGCAGCGGGGGTGGGGTGGGGGGTGTTTGGTTTTTATTCCCCCCCCGTCTGCTGGGTGGTTGCAGCAGGTTTTGGTCACTTCACATGACCCTGGGACACTGTGACCGTCATAAATATGAATCAGTTGCCAAGCATCTGAATGTAAATCACAAGACCCTGGAGATGCTGCAACATTCCGGCTGATCGGAGCTGCTTCTGGGCTCAGCAGAAGCACCAGGATCAGCGCCGAGCTCCAGCTGGAGCCTGGCGCTGATCCTGGCGCTTCCATTGAGCCCTGACAGCCCCGAAGAAGCGCTGATCAGCTGGAAAGCGGCACTGATCCTGGCGCTTCCGCTGAGCCCTGACAGCCCTGCAGCTCCAGCCGTCTCTCGCTCAGACTTGTGCGGTGCTGCCACCGGTTCAGCCCATTCCCCTCCCCCGCTACCACTTTTCTAGGATGGTCGCGTACCACCTGCCAGGTGCCAATGTACCACAGGTGGTACCCGTACCACTGGTTGAAAAGCCCTGCTCAAGAGAACAGGAAGTTGTAAATTTCAGGTAAATCTTACAAAAGGATCCCGGCGATTGTCAGTGAAGCTGCATGGATTCTCGTTTGGTTTGTCTTGCGGTGAAAGACCGTTCCCGTTAAGAAAGTGTCTCTTTTGCCCTCTTTTTATTTTTAATCTTTCCAGCCATCCATGGGTCTATCTCTTGCTTGGAAATTCTTTGTGACTTCAAGGCTTCTTTGAACACCAAGGACCAGGTAAGAACCCGACCTCCATCCTGGCCCGTTCAGGCTCAGCTTGGCCCATTTCTGGCGTCCCTTCATTTTTCCTTCTTTTGTTCTCCCAACCGAATGAAAGGATTGAGTTAGAATTAGATGATACTAGGGGAGGGGGGAGGAGGAAGAACGTGGATGGGAATTAGTGAGAAATAACAAGACCGTAGTAATGTGTGATTCAAGGTTGTTTGGAACAAGAGATGAAAAGAAGTGGTGGGTTGGAGAACTGGAGGGAAGGCCTGCATTTCAAGCTAATTGGGGAATGTGAGCTATGACTGCAAATCGGAGGAGGGAATGGTGCTTTGATACTATGGGCTCAGGGGAGGGGAATCCAGATTTTCGGCTTCGACCGTGTCCCTGCCGATGCCATGCCACTCGAAGAAAGATTCTTTAAGGTAAACAGTGCCTCAAAGTTCTTCAAAGAGTTTTTCATCAGTCGAAACCATGACAGGTGTGTAATTTGTAAAAAAAAAAATTACATTTCCTCCTTCTCCCATCCTCCTCCTCCTCCTGTTTTTTCTTATCCTTTCCTCTCCTTCTCCTTTGTCTTTCTTCTCTTTTCTCTCCTTTTCCTCCTCCTCCTCTTTCACTTCTTCCTCCTGTTTCCTCTTCTCCTTCTTCTCTTTCCTCTTCTCCTTCCCACCTTCTCCTTCTGTATCACTTTCTCCTCTTTTCCTCCTCCTGCTTCTCCTCCTCCATACTCTCCTGTTTTCTCTTATCACTTTCCTCTCCTTCTCTTCTTCTCTTTGTCTTTTTTTCTCTCCTCCTCCTCTTCCATTTCCTCCTCCTCCTCCTCCTCCTCCTCCTCCTCCTGTTTCCTTTTCTCCTTCTCTTCTTCTCCTTTTTGGCCTTCTTCTCCCTCCTGTTTCCTCTTCTTCTTCTCTTTCCTCTTCTCCTTCTCTTCCCCCTCCTTTATACCCTCCTGTTTTCTCTCATCCTTTACTTTCCTCTCCTTCTCTTCTTCTCTGTCTTTTTCTCTCTCCTTTTCCTCCTCCTCATCTTCTATTTCCTCCTCCTTCTCCTCCTTCACCTCCTCCCGTTTCCTTTTCTCCTTCTCCTTCTCTTCCCTCTTCTCCTTTTCTCTTCCTTCTCCTCCTCCTGTTTCCTCTTCTCCTTCTCTTTCTCTCCTCCTCCTCCTCCATACCCTCCTGTTTTTTCTTATCCTTTACTTTCTTCTCCTTCTCTTCTGTCTTTTTCTCTCTCCTTATCCTCTTCCTCTTCTATTTCCTCTTTCACCTCCTCCCGTTTCCTTTTCTCCTCCTCCTTCTCTTCCCTCTTCTCCTTTTCTTTCTCTCCTCCTCCTCCTCCTCCTCCTGTTTCTCTTCTCCTTCTCCTTTCCTCTTCTCCTTTTCTTTCTCTCCTCCTCCTCCTCCTCCTCCTCCATACCCTCCTGTTTTCTCTCATCCTTTACTTTCTTCTCCTTCTCTTCTCTGTCTTTTTCTCTCCTCCTCCTCTTTCTCCTCCTCCACTTCCTCCTGTTTCCTTTTCTCCTTTTCCTTCCTTCCTCTTCTCCTTTCCCTCTCCTTCCTCCCGTTTCCTCTTCTCCTTCTCCTCTTTTCTCCTTCTCCTCCTTCCTCCTCCTCCTCCTGTCCTGCCTTCCCCTCCTGCCTCCCATAAGCAGCCCCTTCAAGGGAAGGAAGGAGAGCGTCCGAGTGGATGCTTCCCACCCAGTGGCGATGAACTTGCTATGACGAAGGCAAAGATGTTTTTAACTGACCGGGCATTGTTTCCCCCGCTTTCTCCTGCCAGGATGGGGTGACCCCTCTCATGCTGGCCGCCAGGATGAACCACCCGGAGCTCTGCCACTACTTACTACACCGCGGAGCTGCCGTTAACGCCAGAGACCAGAAAGGCCGGTGAGGAAACTGGGGGGGGGGGGGGGGGNTTTTCTTGCAGACATTTCATGACCCAACTAGGTAACAATATCAGTGCTAGAAGGGGGTGGAGATTGTAGAGAGGAGAGAAGAGGAGGAGGAGGAAGAGGAAGGCTGTGAGGTCCTTGGTGCTCTCTGAGCTGGGTGGTTTTCTTGCAGACATTTCATGACCAAACTAGGTAACAAACTGGACAGTCTCAAGAAGTTTTCAAAGTATTCAATGACTAACACTTGGTAGCATTTTGAGAGTTACTTCTGTAATACCAACCTTGAGGTCCTCTCCTCGGAGTGACGGTGCCTCTCTTTGCTTCAGAACAGCCCTGATGGTGGCGTGTGAGAATGGCAGTGTGGAGACAGTTGAGGCGCTCATCCACGGGGGGGCACGGGTCGGCCTCATCGATGCCACGGGCCGCGATGCCGCGCATTACGGAGCCGCGATGGGCAATGCCCTCATTCAACATTATCTCCAAGAGGCTGCCCAACGCCACTCTTGGGCCAGCGGTAAGACCCCAGCTCTGCTTCCCTGAGGCTAGTCCTGTTGAAGGAAGAGGGTTTGCTGGCTTCCCCGGAGGAATTGGGACAGGGTCCTTCAAAGAGAAGTCTGGATTGGCCAGGAAGACACTCACAATGTCCTTCAGCTGGATTGGAGGTGGGCTTTCTCCCCTTGCGTTGACCCCTTGAAGGACTTTTCACATCCAAGGTCCTTGGTGCTCTCTGAGCTTGACTGTTTTCTTGCAGACGTTATATTACCCAGCTAGGTAACATCATTAGTGCACTGGGTGTCGTGAAACATCTGCAAGAAACCACCAAGTTCTATTGCTTTGGGAAAAACTGTCTACTCCGGTCAAAACGTTCTTCATCACTCGGCCTTGGTAGATAACATCTCCCCGACAACTGACGGTTCACTTGCATTCCATAGTCTCTTCCTCTCGCTCTTAGGAATTCACCTCCCTCCTCCCACCACTGTTTGGCAAAGCTGCGAGCGAACGCCGTTGTAGGCAACTATGGAGTCGAGTCAGGCTTGACATAGACAGTGATAGATAGATATTGTAGATAGACAGAAAATAGAGATAGGTAAACAGAGAGATATGATAGATAGATGATAGTTAGCAATAGCACATATATCACTTCATAGTGCTTTTACAGGCCTCTCTAAGCGATTTATAGAGTTAGCCTCTTGCCCCCCAAACAATCTGGGTCCTTCTTTTACCAAACTCGGAAGGATGGGTCAATCTTGAGTGGGTCAGGATCGAACTGCTGGCAGTGAGCAGAGTCACCATGCAATACTGTATTCTAACAACTGTGTCACCAAGAGTCTAGAGTAGAATGGGATAGAAAGAATAGAATTAGAAATGAATTCAAAAGAATAGAATTGGAATTGGAATATAGAATAGAATGGAATGGAATAGAATATAGAATATAGAATAGAAAATAGAAAATAGAACAGAATAGAAAATAAAGAATAGAATAGAATAGAAAATAGAATAGAAAATAGAATAGAAAATAGAATAGAAAATAGAATAGAATATAGAATAGAATAGACTAAATAGAATAGAAAATAGACTAGAAAATAGACTAGAAAATAGAATATAGAATAGAAAATAGAATAGAATAGAAAATAGAATAGAATAGAAAATAGAATAGAATAGAATATAGAATATAGAATAGAATAGAAATAGAATAGAATAGAAAATAGACTAGAATAGAATAGACTAGAAAATAGACTAGAAAATAGAATATAGAATAGAAAATAGAATAGAATAGAAAATAGAATAGAATACAGAACAGAATAGAAATAGAATAGAATAGAAAATAGACTAGAATAGAATTGATTAAATAGAATAGAAAATAGAATAGAAAATAGAATATAGAATAGAAAATAGAAAATAGAATAGAAAATAGAATATAGAATAGAAAATAGAATAGAATAGAAAATAGAATAGAAAATAGAATATAGAATAGAAAATAGAATAGAAAATAGAATATAGAATAGAAAATAGAATAGAAAATAGAATAGAATAGAATAGAAAATAGAATAGAAAATAGAATAGAATAGAATAGAAAATAGAATAGAATAGAAAATAGAATAGAAAATAGAATAGAATAGAAAATAGAATAGAAAATAGAATATAGAATAGAAAATAGAATAGAAAATAGAAAATAGAATAGAAAATAGAATAGAATAGAAAATAGAATAGAAAATAGAATAGAAAATAGAATAGAATAGAAAATAGAATAGAAAATAGAATATAGAATAGAAAATAGAATAGAATAGAAAATAGAATAGAAAATAGAATATAGAATAGAAAATACAATAGAATAGAAATAGAATAGAATAGAAAATAGACTAGAATAGACTAGAATAGAAAATAGACTAGACTAGAATAGAAAATAGACTAGAATAGAAATAGACTAGAATAGAAAATAGACTAGAATAGAAAATAGACTAGAAAATAGAATATAGAATAGAATAGGCACTTAGACTTATATAGCTCTTAGCAGTCCTTTCCAGCCCTCTCTAAGCAGTTTACAGAGTCAGCCTATTTGCCTGCAACAATCTGGGTCCTCATTTTACCGACCTCGGAAGGACGGAAGGCTGAGTCCACCTTGAGCCCATCAGGACCGAACTGCCAAAGTGCTGGCAGTTGGCACTCCGCAGAATTAGCCTGCAGTACTGCATCCTAACCACTGCGCCCCCAGGGCTCAGGCCCTGGGACACAGCCACTGTCCTGAATATTTATTTATTTATTTATTTATTAATTTAATTTATACCCCGCCCTTCTCCTCATGGGACTCAGGGCGGCTAACAGCCTCATAAAAACTACAATACAAATACAATAATTAAAAGCCGAATATGAGTCAGTTGCCAAGCGTCTGAACACTGACCGTGGGGATGCTGCCACGGGCGTTAAGTGTGAACAACGCTACTAAGTCAGTGGCATTGTACCTTTGAACGGTCACTAAATGAACTGTTGTAAGTCGGGGACTAGCTGTATTTTACTGGCTGGCAGTTTCTACTGTCAGGGACTCTACCCCAGGGGTCTTCAAACTTGGCCCTTTTATGACTTGTGGACTTCAACTCCCAGAATTCCTCAGCAAGGCACGCGTGCCTGGCTGAGGAATTCTGGGAGTTGAAGTCCACAAGTCATAAAAGGGCCAAGTTTGAAGACCCCTGATCTGGATCCAAGCCCGCAGTTTCATCAAAATGGCCGACTGAGGTATTCTGGGAGTTGAAGTCCACAAGTCATAAAAGGGCCAAGTTTGAAGACCCCTGGTCTGGATCCAAGCCCGCAGTTTCATCAAAATGGCTGTCTGAGGAATTCTGGGAGTTGAAGTCCACAAGTCATAAAAGGGCCAAGTTTGAAGACCCCTGATCTGGATCTAAGCCCGCAGTTTCATCAAAATGGCCGACTGAGGTATTCTGGGAGTTGAAGTCCACCAGCCATCAAAGGGCCAAGTTTGAAGACCCCTGGTCTGGATCCAAGCCTGCAGTTTCATCAAAATGGCTGTCTGAGGAATTCTGGGAGTTGAAGTCCACCAGTCATCAAAGGGCCAAGTTGGAAGACCCCTGCTCTACCCCAACAGTCCCTAAAGTCTCTTTATGATGTATTTATGATGTATGTTCGATTGTTTAAGGAATGGCCTCACAAAGGGCGATTTATGGCTTGTAAAGCACTTTGGGATGTCGTAAAATGTCACTGACCATGTGACCACATTTTGGATGTTTGCCCTCCCCGCTCACATTTACGACTGGTTGCATCCTCCCACCATCATGGAACTGTGACAGGTGACGTTTTTCTGCAAAATTGATTCAGACTTACAACCACACGGTTCGTTTCATGAATGCATTAAAAATGGTGGTAAAATCGGCTCTGGGTACCTCGACCTAAGACCGTCATGACTTAACGTTAAAATTAAAATTCTGGTCTCAGTTATGGTTGCGAGTTGAGGACTAGCCTAGTGTCAAGTCCCTGCTTCTTTTTCTGCCCTCTTAAGGGTGTGAGAAGACAAGAGGATGCCTTATCCAGGTCGTCCCGGACTTACAACCGTTTGTTTAGTGACCATTTGAAGTTACAACAGCGTTGAAAAAAAGGGACTGACGACCGTTTTTCAGATTGAACGGCTATTGTGGTCACGTGATCGAAATTCCAGACGCTGGGGGACCGACTCACGATTATGACGGTTGCGGCGTCCCCGGGGGGTTCACGCGATCCCCCTTTTGCGAACTTCTGACTGAAGCCAGATTCACTTAACAACCGCCTCACGAACTTAACCCCTGCAATGATTCGCTTAACAACTTCGGCCAAGACAGGCTGTAAAGCGGGGCACGACTCGCTTAACGAGGGTCTCGTTTAGCAACGGAAATTTTGGGCTCGATTGTGGTCGTAAGTCGAGGACTGCCTGTCTAGCAGTTCCATCCCGGTCTGTTGCCTTCTTCTCCTCGGCAAGCGAAAAACTAACCAGACTCTAACTAACCGGGTTTCCAGCCCCTCCCTCACCTGTAAATAAGCTGTAATCAAAGCCCTGGTATGTTCCTATCCTAAGTGGCATCTTGTTGGAGACCCCTGACAGACCTCCCAGCAATGAGGGGGGGTCTCCATAAGCCCCTTCCCCTAGTTTAGGCATCCGGCTGTTTGGGGGCTGTTTCCCAGGGGCCCGGGGTCAACCCCCCCACGCCCCAAATTGGAGGCCTGCTTGCCAGCCGTTCTGACCTGAAATATCCCTTTGATGTTTTTGTCTTTTTTGCAGAGGAAGAATCAGCCAACTTGTCTTCTCAGGTAATCTTTCCCCACCCAAAAGGACTCCCGGGCGGCAGCAGCAGCAGGTGGGAGATCCGGTCTTAATCCTCCTCCCTCCCTCCCTTCCCCCTCCCTCCCCCTTTCCCTCGGCCCACGTCCTTGCCCTCCCTCCCTCCCTCCTTCCCTCCCTAATCTTTTTCCCTCTCTCCTTTCTCTTTCTCATTCTCCCTTCTCTTTCTCCCTCCCTTCTTTCTCCATTCTCCATCCCTCCCCTCCCTTCATCCTCCCCTCTTCCCTCCCTCTCTCCCTTCTCTTTCTCATTCTCCCTTCTCTTTCTCCCTCCCTTCTTTCTCCCCCTCCCTCTCTCTTTCTCTCCCTCCACTTTTTCCCTCTCCTTTCTCTTTTTCATTCCCTCCCTTCTCTTTCTTCCTCCCTCCCTTCTTTCTCCTCTCTCTCCCTCCCTCCCCTCCCTTCATCCCCCTCCCTCTCCCTTCTCTTTCTCCCCTTCCCTCCCTCTTTCCCTCCCTCCATTCTCTTTTTCCCTCTCTCCTTTCTCTTTCTCATTCCCTCTCCCTTCTCTTTCATCCTCCCTTCTTTCTCCTCTCCCTCCCTCCCCTCCCTTTGTCCCCCTCTCCTCCCTCCCTCCCTTCTCTCCCTCCCTCCCTCCTTTCTCCCCATCCTTCCCTCCCTTCTCTTTCTCCTTCCCCTTTCTCCCCCTCCCTCCCTCTTTCCCTCCTTCCATTCTCTTTTTCCCTCTCTCCTTTCTCTTTCTCATTCTCTCCCTTCTTTCTCCCTCCCTTCTTTCTCCTCTCGCGCTCCCTCCCCTCCCTCTCCCTCCCTCCTCTTTCTCCCCATCCCTCCCTCCTTTCTCTTTCTCCCTCCCTTCTTTCTCCATTCTCCATCCCTCCCTTCTCCCCCCTCTTCCCTCCCTTTCTCCCTTCCCCCTTCCCCATTGCTCTCTCCCTCCCTCCTTTTCCCCTTCCCCGTCCTCCCTTTCTTCCTTCCTCCCCCTCCCTTCTCTTGCTCTCTCCCTCCCTTCTTCCCTCTTTTTTCCCTTCCCCCTGCCCTCTCTTCCTTCCTCCCCTCCCCTTCTCTTTCCCCCTTCCCCCTCCCTCCCTTTCCTTTTTCTTCCTCCCTCCCTCCTTTTTCTCCCGTCTTCCTCTCCCTCCCTCCGCCCTCCTGCTTCTCTCCATCCTCAGGCATCTTCCTCCCGACAGTCTCTCTGCAAGGAGAAGAGCAACAGTCCAAGGAAGCGGAAGGCACCCCCGCCCCCCAACAGCAGCCCCAACCAGGTAGGAGGCCGAGGGGCTCCTGTGCCCAGATTGTCCCCTAAAGAAAGAGATGGGGGAGCCCACGCGTCCCTTGGGCTGAAAAGGCACCATTCTGACATGGGGGAGTGGAAGGGGGGGCTGACTGGGATATCCAGGGCTCTTGGCTCCACTAGAAAGTGGGAAAGCATTCTGGAAGGTGGAAATGGTATAGGGTTTCCTGCTTGAGAAGGGGGTTGACTAGAAGACCTCCAAGGTCCCTTCCAACTCTTGTTATTCTATTCCAGTGGTGGCGAACCTATGGCACGGGTGCCAGAGGCGGCACTCGGAGCCCTCTCTGTGGGCACACGCACCGTCTCCCCAGCCCCGCCTCCCCCCACGGCCCCCTCCTCACCAGCAGCCCCCCCCGGAGGAGAGTCACCCCTGGGTGCGGCCCACACGAAACAGTGGAGCCAAGGACATGGTAGCTGGGCAGCGGGGACAAGACTCCGCCCTTGTGCCCCATTGCGTGCAGATGATGCTGTGGGGCACGGGTGGAGGGCATGGCCAGCATGGCGCTGCTGGGCTGTCTGGGTGATCTGTGGTGGGCCGTGGAGGTGGTGGGTGGCCCAGTGGGCAGGGCGGAGTGGGGACGGGGGTGGGGGGGCGGTTTTTGGGCACTCGGTCTCTAAAAGATTTGCCATCACTGTTCTATTCTATTCTATTCTATTCTATTCTATTCTATTCTATTCTATATTTTATATTTTATGTTCTATGTTCTATCTTCTATTCTATAATTCTATTCTAAATTCTATTCTATTCTAAATTCTATTTTATTCTATTCTATTCTGTTCTATTCTATATTCTATTCTATTCTATAATTCTATTCTATTCTATTCTAAATTCTATTCTATTTTATTCTATTCTATTTTATTCTAAATTCTATCCTATCCTATTCTATAATTCTATTCTATTCTATTCTATTTTATATTTTATATTCTATATTCTATATTCTATTCTATTCTATTCTATTCTATTCTATTTTATATTTTATATTCTATATTCTATTCTATAATTCTATTCTAAATTCTATTCTATTCTAAATTCTATTTTATTCTATTCTATTCTATTCTGTTCTATTCTATATTCTATTCTATTCTATTCTATTCTATAATTCTATTTTATTCTAAATTCTATTCTAAATTCTATTCTATTTTATTCTATTCTATTTTATTCTAAATTCTATCCTATCCTATCCTATCCTATAATTCTATTCTATTCTATTCTATTCTATTCTATTCTATTCTATTCTATTCTATTCTATTCTATTCTATTCTATTTCTGCTCTATTCCACTCCACTCCACTCCATTCCATTCCATTCCATTCCAGCCTGTTCTATTCTATTCTATTCTATTCTATTCTATTCTATTCTATTCTATTCTATTCTATTCTATTCTATTCTATCCTACATTCTGTTCTATTCCTTTAGCCTTTTAGGATATTTGGTGAAACGGGAACCCGGAGAAATTTAATTAAGAAAACAAAACACAAAGCAGAAAAAAAAAACCCACCGAAGTTGGCTTGTACAGGAAGTCCTCGACTTACGACCGCAATTGGGCCCAAAATTTTCATTGCTAAGTGAGACAGATTTTAAGTGAACTTTGCCCCATTTTACGACCTTGCTTGCCACAGTTGATAAGCGAATTATTGCAGTTGCTAAGTAATGGGATTGTGAAGTAAATCTGTCTTTTCCCATTGATTTTGCTTGTCAAGAGGTCGCGAGAGGGGGTCACGTGACCCCTGGGAGGCTGCAACCATCCTAGGTACATGCCAGTTGCCAAGCCTTTGACTTCTGATCACATGATCCTGAGGAACGATGCAACAGTGATTAGCGTGAAAAACGGCCATAATTCACTTTTTTTTCAACGCCAGTATAACTTCAAACGGTCACTAAATAAACTGTTGTAAGTCGAAGACTTCCTGTACTTTGCCCTGGCGCCATTCACAACTTCAAAAAAGCTATGGGTTGACAAGCTGCCTCTTAGAAGCTCCAGCTAAATCTGTTAAAAGAGGCGCTGATGATGTGTTTATAATGACATCACTGCAAGCCCCAAGGAGTCACCAACAGCCAGCCTGAGTCTCTTTTTAAAATTTTAAAATTATTTTTTAATCTCACCTTTATTACTTGTTATAAATAACTCGAGACGCCGAACATACCTAATACCTGTTCCTCCAGCTATTTTCCCTACAACAAGAACAACCCTGTGAGTTGGGTCAGGCTGAGAGAGAGAGAGAGGAGAGAGAGAGAGAGAGAAAGAGAGAGAGAGAGAGAGAGAGAGAGAAAAGAGGAGAGAGAAGGAGAGAGAGAGAGAAAAGAGAGAGAGGAGAGAGAGAAAGAGAAAGAGAGAAAGAGAAGGAGAGAGAGAAGGAGAAAGAAAAAGAGGAGAGAGAGAAAAGGAGAGAGAAAGAGAGGAGAGAGAAGAGAGAAAGAAAAGGAGAGAGAGAAGGAGAAAGAGAAAGAGAGAGAGAGAGAAAAGGAGAGAGAAAAGGAGAGAAAGAGAGGGAGAGAAGGAAAGAGAGAGAAAGGAGAGAAAGAAAAGGAGAGAGAAGAGAGAGGGAGAGAAGGAAAGAGAGAAAGGAGAGAGAGAGAGGAGAGAAAGAGAGAAAAGGAGAGAGGAGAGACAGAAGGAGAGAAAGAAAAGGAGAGAGAGAGAAGGAGAAAGAAAAAGAGAAAGAAAAAGAGAAGGAGAGAGAGAGAGAGAGGAGAAAAAGAGAGGAGAGAGAGAAAAGGAGAGAGAGAGAGAGAGGAGAGAGTGGAGAGAAAGAAAAGGAGAGAGAGAAAAGGAAAGAGAGAAAAGGAAAGAGAGAAGGAGAAAGAAAGAGAGAGAGAAAGAGGGAGAGAGAGAAGGAGAAAGAAAAAGAGAGAGAGGAAAGAGAGAGAGAGAGGAGGGGACTGACACTACGTTCCCCAACTGCCTTTTCTATTCCTAGGAGGATCGGGATGCCTATGAGGAGATTGCCAAGCTGCGGCAGGAGAGGGCTCACTTCCTCCAAAAGATCCGGGGATTGGAGCAGCTCCAGGACAAACAGAAACAGGAAGTGAGTGTTTGAAGACCACCCTGGATAAAGATTTCAACCAATCAGAATGGAGCTGGGAGGGACCTTGGGGGTCTTCTAGTCCAACTCCCCGCTCAAGCAGGAGACCCTATGCCAGTGATGGCGAACCTTTTAGAGACCGAGTGCCCAAAAACTCCCCCACCCCACCCCTGTCTCCGCTCCGCTGTGCCCACTGGGCCACCCACCACCTCCGTGGCCCACCACAGATCCCCCAGGTAGCCCAGCAGCACCATGGCGGCCGCGCCCTCTGCCCGTGCCCTGCAGCATCATCTGCGTGCGACGGGACGCAAGGGCAGGGTCTTGTCCCCGCTGCCCAGCTACCATGTCCTTGGCTGCGCTGCTTCATGTGGGCCATGCCCAGGGGTGACTCTCCTCCAGGGAGGGGGCTGCTGGTGAGGAGGGGGCCATGGGAGGAGGTGGGGCTGGGGTGACGGTGCGCGTGCCCACAGAGAGGGCTCTGAGTGCCGCCTCTGGCACCCGTGCCATAGGTTCACCACCACTGCCCTAGGCCATTTCAGACTGGTGGCTGTCCAGTCCCTTCTTAAAAACCTTGAGTGATGAAGCAGCCGCGACTTCTGAAGATAAGCTATTCCACTAATTTTTCCTCACGGTTAGGAAGTTTCTCCTTAATTCCAGGTTGCTTCTCTCTTTGGTGAGTTTCCATCCATTGTTTCTTGTCCTGCCCTCTGGTGCTTTGGAGAATAGGTTGACCCCCTCTGTTGTGATTCCGTGCCAGCCTGTGTTCCCAACAGCTGAGTGACTCCTTAGACTCCTCCTCCACCTCCTCCGGCAACTCCCCGGTAGTCCCAGTCTCCCTCCGAGACTACTTAATGTCCTGAGTGCCGAACTACTTCTCGGACCGGGGAGGTCAGCACAAAGACTACTTCGAGTCGACACACTCCTCGTACTCAGTCATTCGGAAGGCTCACACCTGGATGTGCTAATTGATGCTCGCAGGCGTCGTCAAGTAGCGAGAGAAAAACAATAACAGTCTATGCAACTACTCCAAAGTAAAAGGAGAAGGCAATGAGAGGCAACGCCCTGGGACTGCTGTATAAAAAGGGGAGGTGTGGGCGTTGCTGGTTGCTGAAGGCAACCGTTTGCAAAGTGCTTCTTGGAATCCTGGTCTTTTCGTCTTGTTTGCAACGTGTTCCTGTGGACTATTTCCTTCCTTTGGACTTGAGGTTTGCTGTTTGTGTTTTGGACTTATTGACAGGATTGTCACCCAAATAAAAGGGATTTTGTTTTGTTTTAAAGTTTCCAGCCTATTGTATCAGCAGGGGTTTGGTCCTTGTGCCTCTAACAAGGACGGCAATAGGCTGGGAAGAACACCCTCCTCTTTGGGGCAGCCCCTGAGATACTGGAATCCTGCTTTCATGTCAAACCTGTTTCTTCTTTTTCCTGGACTGGCCAAACCCAAATCCTGCAGCCGTTCTTCATATGTTTTAGTCTCCAGGCCTTTAATCATCTTAGTTGCTCTTCTTTGCACTTTTCCCCCAAAGTCTCAACATTTTTGGGTAACGTGGTGACCAAAACTGGATGCTGTATTCCAAGTGTGGGCCTTACTAAGGATTCATAAAGCGTACCGTTAAATAAATAGATCCTGCAAGGAGCCTTGATGATCAATTTTTGGTTCCTGCATTTAATTCCATGCTTTATTTTACTTCCTGGTCATCCAGAACCGGGGAGGGCGGTTCCGAGAGATGGGTCAATAAACCAGACATTTTCCTGGCAGTGAACTTTACCTCTTTTTTTTTTCCTCCCTCTTTCGCCTCTGGGAGCAGCTGGAGATCCAAAATGGCTCTTTGCCTCTTCTGGAGAAGCAGGTGAGTCTTATTCTGGAGCAGAGGAACACAAGACGAGAGGCATGGGGTTGATCTCCCAATGATGTCACACACCACAACATGACGAGGAGCCTAACGGCTGCTTGCTAATTGCAAGGAGGGAAGGAGGGAGGGAGGGAGGGAAGGAAGGAAGGAAGAAAAAAGGAAGGAAAGGATGGAAGGAAGGAAAGAAAGAAAGAAAGAAAGAAAGAAAGAAAGAGAAAGAAAGAAAAAGAAAGAAAAAGAGGAAGAAAAGGATGGAAGGAAGGAAGGAAGGAAGGAAGGAAAGAAAGAAAGAAAGAAAGAAAGAAAGAAAGAAAAAGGAAGGAAAGGAAGGAGGGAGGGAGGGAGGGAGGGAAGGAGGAAAGAAGGAAAGGAAGAAAAAAAGGAAAGGAAGGAAAGAAAAAGGGAGGGAAGGAAGGAAGAAAAGGGAGGGAGGAAGGAAGAAAAGAAAGGAAGAAAAAGAAAGAAAGAGGAAGAAAGAAAGAAAGAAAGAGAAAGAAAGAAAGAAAAAGAGGAAGGAAAGGATGGAAGGAAGGAAGGAAAGAAAGAAAGAAAGAAAGAAAGAAAGAAAGAAAGAAAGAAAGAAAGAAAAAGGAAGGAAGGAAAGGATGGAAGGAAGGAAAGAAAGAAAGAAAGAAAGAAAAAGGAAGGGAAGGAAGGAAGGAAGGAGGGAGGGAGGGAAGGAGGAAAGAAGGAAAGGAAGAAAAAAGGAAAGGAAGGAAAGAAAAGGAGAGAAGGAAGGAAGAAAAGGGAGGAAGGAAGGAAGAAAAGAAAGGAAGGAAAAGAAAGAGGAAGAAAGAAAGAAAAAGAAAGAAAGAAAGAAAAAGAGGAAGGAAAGGATGGAAGGAAGGAAAGAAAGGAAGAAAGAAAGAAAGAAAGAAAAAGAAAAAGGAAGGAAAGGAAGGAAGGAGGGAGGGAGGGAAGGAGGAAAGAAGGAAAGGAAGAAAAAAAGGAAAGGAAGGAAAGAAAAAGGGAGGGAAGGAAGAAAAGGGAGGAAGGAAGGAAGAAAAGAAAGGAAGAAAAAGAAAGAGGAAGAAAGAAAGAAAGAAAGAAAGAAAGAAAGAAAAAGAAAGAAAGAAAGAAAGAAAAAGAAAGAAAGAAAGAGAAAAAGAAAGAAAGACTAATGGCTATAAAGGACACCCAAACATTGATTGACCCCCTCATTGGGAACCTGTAGGCCTGAAGCCTCTTTCCAACTGCACATTCAAAGACCCCTTTCCTAGTTTCCAGCCACAAACTCCACATCCTGTCTTGGTCTAGACCAGCATCCTGCCTGAACTCAACTAGCCGGTAACGTTGAAGTCCCATCGAGGACTCCTGCAGCGGAACTCCGTAACTCCGTATCGAGGCCGTTCCTGTCCGTTCACAAGAATTCACCAGACACCCAAACAGGCGAGCGTCACAATTGGAATAAAATCTTGGTTTTTCTTTTTTTCTTTTTGTCGTCTCCCAGTTAGAGGATCTTCAACGCCGACTGGCGGAGACGGCAAACGAGAAGGAAAGTCTGAGGAAGGAACTGGAGGTGCTGCGAAGCCGGCTTTCGTTATGCGAGGTACCGAAGGCATATTTCCAAGATCAAGCCGTTCCTTTAAAATAATAATAATAATAATAATAATAATAATAATAATAATAATAATAATAATAATAATAATAATAATAATAAAGTTGGAAGGGACCTTGGAGGTCATCTAGTCCAACCCCCTGCTCAGGCAGGAAACCCTATATCATTTCGGACAAATGGCTGTCCAGTCTCTTCTTAAAAACTTCCACTGTTGGAGCATTCACCGCTTCTGGAGGCAAGGAGTTCCACTGGTTAATTGTTCTCACTGTCAGGAAGTTTCTCCTTAGTTCTAGGTTGCTTCTCTCTTTGGTTAGCTTCTACCCGTTGCTTCTTGTCCTGCCTTTGAGGACTTTGGAGAATAGCTTGACTCCCTCTTCTTTGGGGCAGCCCCTGAGATACTGGAAGACTGCTATCCTGTCCCCCCTCATCCTTCTCTTCATTAAACTAGACATACCCAATTCTAGCAACCGTTCCATATAGTTTTAGCCTCCAGGCCCCTAATCATCTTTGTTGCTCTTCTCCGTACTCTTTCTAGAGTCTCAACATCTTTTTTTACATCGTGGTGACCAAAACTGGATGCAGTATTCCAAGTGTGGCCTTACCAAGGCCTTGTAAAGTGGTATTAACCCTTCACGTGATCTTGATTCTATCCCTCTGTTAATGCAGCCCAGCACTGTGTTGGCCTTTTGGCTGCTGCAGCACACGGCTGGCTCCTATTTAAGCGGCTGTCACTTGGAATTGTTTAGGCCTGGAAGTCCTTGGTGCTTTCCGAGTCTGCTTGTTTTCTTGCAGACGTTTTATGACCCAACTAGGGAACATTATCAGTGCTGGAAGGGAGGAGGAGAAGGAGAACTGTGAGATCCGTGGTGCTCTCTGAGCTTGGCTGCTTTCTTGCAGACATTTTATGACCCAACTAGGGAACATTATCA